TCATATTGCTACCAGAAAGGCATAAGATTAAATATTCCAGTTCGTTCAATTTCATGTCTATGTTCTTTCGAAATGGCGACATCTGTTAGGAGACATATCTAGAATATACCCAAAGTGGTGAAGGGTATCACATAGTCGGCCCTGTCCGACGTTACTACTTTCCTTAGTGTTTTTTTTCTTTGTATACCCTCCACCAGAAGGTAGTGTGTCAATTTCTATTCCCTTTGCAACAACCTCGAAGGATCCGTTGTAGACCCTATAAAGTATATAATTCTTATTGCCATTTTTGTTTTACCCTTCAATATCCCTCCTCCAATGGCAAATTATTGCCACTTCGATGAAAAAAATTCATTTAAAACCTTCAAAATTACGAAAAATGGTGATCTACCAGTATATGTGGGGTCATGTCAAATCATGGACCTTCAACAACCTTTTGGTACCAAATAACAGCCACAGCGATGTGAAAATGCAGCCCAAGCCTTCAAAATACCCAATAATGGGGGACCAACACTTAAACCAACATTTAAAATTTTCGGTAGTGAGATGTGACACCCCATGAGAAGCTGAAAAATCCAATTACAAAAATCCCCCAACAAAACACCGAAAAATGTAGGGTACCATTGTATGGGGGCTACCCGGAATTTTTTGACAATATTGAGAATTTTTGGTAGGAAGGTTTACTACTCAAAAATCATTCAAATTATAAAATTACCGAAAATTTGGTTGAAACTCAAGCTGAAACTCCTCAAAATATCAAAATTTGCGAAGCAGTGTTATACAGGGGTGTGGGCTACTCTAAAAAGTAAACCAATTATACTTGTATACTTGGGATAGGATCGGAAATAATTACATCAAGGTGTTGGCAAATGGAATGATATATTTAATATACACTCCATGTTGTAGCGGAGGGCATAAAAAAACTTGTTTACTCCATTGGTTTATCATCCATCCATGGGAGTGCGAAAACAAGGCTCTTCGATCGAATTGCAGCTGCCCATTGATGGGTGACCAACCCGTATTATTATGGAATACGAATTTTTAACTGGGAAAATATTTTCTTCTATAAATATTTGTTTGTTGTACAACATTTGTTGTTGGCTTTTTTGGAATTTTAGAATTTATGCATTGGTTCTTGTCATTGCACAACAACACCAACAACTACAACATCGACCACAATTAAGAATGACTTTAAAATTTAAAAATTCGCAAGGTCCAGTAATTTTGTTTTGTCTTTCTTCATTTGTTTGATCTATACATTTTTGGTATTAGGCGTGTTCGGCAATATTTCTTACAACATTATGGAGAATATTTTTGCCCAACTAATTAACCCTCTAGCGTATCAATTAAGGTGACCTTTCGGAACTTCTTAAAAATATGTCCCCTTTTGATTACTTGTTCTTCAATTATTAATGAATCTTCAAAGGAAATTCTTTTGTTGTGTACATTTTAGGTATAAGGTGTGTTCCGCAATATTATTACTGAGATTATGGTGAATATTTTTGTGGACATAATTAACCCTGTACCGTTTCATTTAAGGGGACCTTTTTGGCTCTTCTTTAAATATTTTCCTCTTTTTTGCTCACTTTTTCTTCAATTGTCAGTGAATCTTCAGGGAAATTCTTTTGGTGTGTACATTTTAGGTATAAGGTCTGTTCCGCAATATTATTACTAACATTATGGGGAATATTTTTGTAGTCATAATTAACCCTCCTGCGTTTCATTTAAGGGGGGCCTTATGGGTCTACTTTCCAAGATTTCGTTTTTTTTTTTGTCAATTCTCATTTAAGCGAGACAGGAATTGTTGTGATTTATTAATTTTTGGTATTCGGTGTGTTCCGCAATATTATTACTAACATTATGGTGAATATTTTTGAGAACATAAGTAACCCTGTGGCGTTTCATTTAAGGGGATCTCTTGGGACTTCTTTAAAATAGTTTCCTCTTTTGATCACTTTTTCTTCAATTCTCAATTAATCTTCAAGGGAATTATTTTGATGTGTATATTTTAGGTGTGTATATTGAGGTGAGTTCGACAATATTTTCTTTGACATTATGGGAATATTTTTGTGGAACTAATTAACCCTCTAACGTTTCATTTAAAAGGATTTTTGTAGAATTTTTCCATCGCAGGAATTCTTGTGATTTATACCGTGTCCAGTTGAAATTGGGCAGATGGGGGATAACCATAACCATGGATATTCCATTAGGGCCCAAAGCTTTAGATGAGTTTTCGATACGGATGACATATGGAACATCTCCCATTGTAAACTGTGGTGATAACTCCCCGGCGGGAAGACATTTTATACGATGCCTTCGCCCTGTCGCTCTCGGAATGCTCGACAAACTGTCGTTTAAAATAACTGGCACATCTCTGCGAATCAGCCCAAGTTTCGTCGTTTAATGTGACCGAGGTCTTATCATCATCCTTCTAAACAGGTTTCGAGAGCGATTTAACCGTTGCCCACAGTTTAGTCACACCGGTTCCGTTGTTGCAGCTCTTCAGATGTTCCAATCATTTATACCGCTGATGCTCCACGACGAATTTGCTGATTTCCAACGTGAGTTCCCTGACCCTAGGATATGCTGGGTTAGATCGGCGGAGTTCATTATTGGCTACACCAATTGCCTCTGCTGGTAAATTAGGTATCATCTCTGGTATTCGGTATTATTTTAACGGCTGCATCCTCAATGATGTCCTGGAATTTCTGCCTTTCTGCTAACCGTGCACCAGAATGAATGGAAAGTTCTCTAAAGCGCTGGAATTCTTTCCAGTTGGCTTTCATATGGTTGAGGAAAGTGCGGCGTTCAGGGATGATGTAATCGGATGGTTTGCTGATGGAGACGATTATGGTGAAGTGGTCTGAGCTTAGAGAAATGACGGGCTGTCAGTTAATGCCATTTATTGGACCTGGTGGCAAACTGGTTATATCTGGCGAACTGCAAAGAGGTCAAATTTTGTTATATCAATAGCCAATGTAAATTTTTAAAGAAATTTTTGAGTATACTTACATAATTTTTTTTAATACCTGATTTCCATAGGCGAATTTCCTTCTTTAGCTTCCCCAATCTAAAACAAAACTGCAACAAATTTCGATCTGAATTTGGTAAACCCCCCGGACAGAAGTGCATTATGTAATTACTTTTATGGCATCAAAATATTCTTGGATAAATTCATCATTTCTTATAAAATAAATAAAAAAATTGAATTATTTTTTTTTTCTTGCGACCAGACTGAGAAGGTCAAAATAAATTGTCATATTTTTATTTATTTTCAATATTCAATATTAGAAACATTAAAAAATATATATATTTATGCCGGTTTTGCTCTAATGAGCATTTCGGCATATTTAAATGAATAATATGCAGTATTTTTGAAATAATACCATTCAATCCCCAATGATGTTGCATCCTTCTCATTTTTATATTTTCCAAACAGATGACTGCAAAGAAAAGTTACGAAAAGAAATTAAAAACAAAACAAAAATAATATGTAATTGAAAATGATTGTTATACCTGTACGAACAACGATCAAACCACCAAGCCCCTTTATACTCAATGGCACAATTACCATCACCATAGTTATCATTATCCTCATCGAAGGTAGTAAACTTCGCACCTTTGTTATATTCCAAGGAATCACCAGCAGTGCCACTGTATTTGCCTAGTACCTTGAGTTGATATTTCTCGGCTTCATTTCCGATTTGGAAGCCATCATAGAGAGCATAACGTTCCTCACCCTGCCAACCTCTTAAAATCACTTTAAGTTCGATGTTTGGAACGGCTGTCGTCAATTCATGCAATCTGTCTAGGCCAATGAAGAATTCACCGTGAGGTGGATTACCAAAACCCATTTTATAGGATCGCCAGTTCCTGTAAAAATTGACAGAGCCGTCCATGCGTCTGACAATTGTTGTCCAATATTGTAAAGTGTCAAGGCTTTCTCTAGAATAAATATTGATAAAGGCGAAATCATACAGGATGTTAGCAATTAATTGTTAATATTGAAAAAGACCTCGTGGTATCGATTATTATTTGTTTCTGTATATAGCCCTTTTATGTCATTTTAGAAGTGATCATATCAAGTTGGGCGCCATTTTATAAAACTGAGGATTTTCCGAATTTTAGTTCTATTGTGAAGTTCAAAGTTATTTTTTTTTTTTGTTATATCTAATGGCTTGAAAATATGTTGTTCGCCACTTTAAACTTTGTAGTTTTTCGGGACACTTTATTTCTATATTGGAACACAAACTCATTCTAAGTTTTTTCGGGACACAGATTTGTGGCAATTGTAAATATCATGTTGGGCGCCATTTTAATTTTTGACATTGTATAAATTTTTATTTCTATATAGTGAGACCCATAAACTTATTTTTCTTGTTTTCAAAGTCATAGTTTTGCTTCAGATTAAAAAAAAAAAATACGTTGGGCGCCATTTTACATTGGGATATATCGGCGCCATTTTATGAAACAATACTATCCGATTTTTTCAGTCTTTTCATGCAGTGAGTTCATGTTATCGTTTCCTCATTCTCCCAAAATTATTATGTAATATGGAAAAAATTCTTTGTCATGTTGGGCGCCATTTGTATAAATCTGCATTTTGTTGGTATCAATAGCTGTCATGCCCTGCAAAGTCACTAAAAGCAAGTGGCAAGCAAACCTTTCCTTAATATATTCGCTTTAACTGCCCTCTTGAAAAAGAGATAATTTTTCGGATATCTTCCAGAGCCAAATTCTAGTAAGGCTAATTATCGAACCTTATGTTCTAGTTTTTTTTCGTATCTTCCGCAGATGAAATGATTATAACAGAGTCTTAGAAACAAACCCAAACACGGAACAAATCATATAACTATTATAATAAAAGCCAGTAAGGAAAGTAGTAAAGTCGGACGGGGCCGACTATATGATACCCTTCACCACTTTGGGTATACTCAACAGATGAATCCTAACAGACGCCGCATTTTTAAAGGACCAGTAAAATGAAATTGGATCAATAAACCTGTCATTCTGCAACCGATACAAAATTTTTCATTTCGCCAGTTATAGAAGGTATATCTAAATCTATGCCGATTATTAGGAAACTTAGCACACATCATTCTAGACTGAATTCAGTGCGCTGTGCCTAATTTCATGCACATCGAAAGATATATAGGGACTTTGGTGCACCATTTACATTAAATCGGACGAAAATATATATGGGAGCTATATCTAAATCTGAACCGATTTTCAGGAAACAAGCACACATCATTCTAGACTGAATTCAGTGCGCTGTGCCTAATTTCATGCACATCGAAAGATATATAGGGACTTTGGTGCACCATTTACATTAAATCGGACGAAAATATGTATGGGAGCTATATCTAAATCTGAACCGATTTTTCCTATTTTCAATAGGATTCGTCCTTGGGCCAAATAAGTGACGTATGCCAAATTTTATTCAATTCGGATCATAAATGCGACCTGTACTTTACAATTTAACATGTACAGACAGACGGACGGACGGATGGACATGAATAAATCGACTTAGAATGTGATTCTATGCATATTCTCGAAAGGAACCATGTGTCTATCTCGATTATTTTTGCCTATTACAAACATATGCACAAAGACCACAGTACCACAGTCTGGTGTAGGGTATAATAAAGGGGGTTATATGGGGACGACCACAAAAATGGGGCGAATATTAAGAATTTCTGGTGGGGAGATTTGTTACCATATACGACTACAAAATACCAAATTGCAGCGAATTCGGTTGAAAACCCCCCAAAAAATACCGAAAATTGGGGGTACCCTTATATGGGAGCTATCCGAAAAAATGGACCTATATTTATAAGTTTTTGTGGAGAGATTTGGTACCCAATAAGAACTCAAAAAAACTAAATTACAACTAATTCGGTGGAAAAATACGATCAAAACCCCCAAAATACTGAAAATTAGGAGGTGCCGTTATATGGGGGCTACCAGAAAAAGTGGACCTATATTTATAATTTTTTGTGGAGACATTTAGTAGCCAATAAGAACTCAATGTACCAAATTTCAACGTATTCGGTTGAAAAAAAAACGCGCTCAAGAACCCCAAAATACCGAAAATTGGGAGGTACTGTTATATGGAAGCTATGCCTAAACGTGGACCGATATATCCCATCTTCGAACTTGACCTGCCTGTAGACAAAAGACAAACGTATGTAAAATTTCAGCAGCCTATCTCAGTTCCTTTAGAAGATAGCGTGATTACAACAGACGGACGAACATGGACGGACCCTGATCAAGAATATATATACCTTATAGGGTCGGAAATGAATATTTCGATGAGTTACAAACGGAATGACAAAATTAATATATCCTCCATACCATGGTGGAGGGTATACCAAAAAGTTCTAACAAAAAGTCAAATTTAAGTCTGAGTCTTAATTTGTAACACCACTATTTTCCCGACACTATTCGAATTCTTATAATCGAAGGTTCTGGTTATTTGTCATTCCGTTTGCAACCGCTCGAGATATTCACCTGAGACCTCCTTAGGTGTATATATCCACTTCCTGCCAAAAATTATTAAATGTCAGTTCATTTTCTCCGTTATAAGACTATCGATCGATCGATCGATATTTTGAAGTCTTTGGCTGGATTTTAGCATCGCTTTTCTTGAAGCAGGAAAAGTCATAAACCTAGTGACTGTAAACCCATAAAAAATATTGATCTCTCTAAATAGTTTCATACATACTTCTCCTTCAGGGTGACATTCATCGATGACATTTGTTGCTCCACTATTTTTGCCATGTTCCCTTCCAGTTCCTCTTGCCTGGAAATAGAACAAACGTGATCATTAATAGGCGAATAATATTTTGATATAGAATATTCAAATCGTGTTAAGGATTGGATATTTAGTTTTCTTTATCATTGAAATTGTTTAGTGATCTCCCAAATACCCTTCGAGTCCCATCAAATTTTATCATGGGGTGACTGCCTTACCTTTTGGTTAAATCATCAATTCTGGAATAAAGACAGGGAACAAAAATCAAGATGTTTTTAAATTTTCTTCACTTTTTTTTATCACTTCGATTCCAAATACTTACTTCTGAGTTATCTCCTTCGTCTCCGCCAAGAGGGCATCCATTTTTTGAACTAAGTCATTGGTATTCTGAAATTGTCATTGTCCATAAACAAAATCTTTTAAATATTTGGAATTTATTTACATCGTATTCAGCAGAGTCAGTGGTCTCTTCCTCGGGTATGCTACTGGCTTTGGAGGCCATAATATTATCGTCTGCCACATTGTCGGTTATTATCTGTACGATTACTAATGCGAATAGAACAATTGCCTTCATTTCGATTATTCTGTGCCGATCGAGGTTCTGCTGTCAACTGACGAATAGTGGCAATTCGAACATGGCTTATAAACTTCTTGGCAGGCTTATCAGAACAAAATGTTTCGCAAAAATAAAAAAAAATAACTCAAGTTTTTTTTGTGTGTTCCATCCACCACGATATGGAGGGTGGTGGGGTGGTATATTAAGTCCGAATTTTGGTTTATGACTTAGGGCAATTATCCTTTTCATATCCTATAAAGTATATGTATGTATATGAAATCTATGTGTATTTACATATGTTCATCTGCTGTAATCACGAATTTTGTCGTTTGCCTGCAGCTTAAGCTCAAGCTCGAAGATGGGCTATATTGGTTCACATTTGGGCATAGCCCCCATATAACGACGGTTGAGCCTCGGAAGCATTTAGATGTGAAGCCATTCAAAATGCAGCAGCTAGAAGAAGTGAAATCTAACGACCTAACACAATGTAGAATTTCTGTTCGAGTGCGGTCATGGAAAGTTGGAACGTCGGCCTCATTAAAGAGCATAGGCCAAAATTCAACTGAACGGATGGACCATTGCGGTCAAGATTTGCAGGAAATATTTTTTTTTAATTATTAAACTACATATGGACGTTTCTATAGATTCACATGAAGATTTCAGGCACTTTTTTATTTCGAAAATTTTCAATCCGACCTCTCTGATGCAAAAGATTGCCAATAGCTAATTAATTGTAAAGCCCCATTGGGTACAAGTGAGTGATAACAGAACATAAGAAATACTTTTATAATTGGCTCTGTACGCCCACCACCTATCTTCGTAGATAAAAAAAAATTATCTTGACACCGCAATACATAGCTATAATGTTCGATAATGAATACGATGAGTAGTGCCATGTGGTACTAATACCAGTCACTGTTTTATTTGAAAAAAAAAATATATTCTTTAGAAAATCCACACCTTCTATTGGGCCCTGAAAATATATTCATTAAAAAAAAATCCACGGTAGAATAGAATCACTTTCTGAGTCCATCCACGGTAGAATAGAATCACTTTCTGAGTCCATTTATGCATATTTGTCTGTCTGCCCGTTTGTCTTTCCATGTTAAATTGTAAATAAAGTACATGTCGCATATATGATCCGAATTGAATGAAATTTGACACAGCTCATTCATTTGGCCCAAGGACGAACCCTATTGAAATTGGGGAAAATCGATTAAGGTTTAGATATAGTTCACATATATTTTTTCGTCCGATTTAATGTAAATGGTGCCCAAAAGTCCTTATTTATCGTTCGATTTGCACGAAATTTGGCATAGCCTACTAAATTGAGTCTAAAATAGTGTGTGCTAAGTTTCGTAAGAATCGGTTCAAGTTTAGATATAGCTCAAATATATATTTTCGTCCGATTTTATAGAAATGGTGCACCAAAGTCTCTATATATTTTTCGATGTGCACGAAATTAGGCACAGCGCACTGAATTAAGTCTAGAATGATGTGTGCTAAGTTTCGCGAAAACCGCTTTAGATTTAGATCTAGCTCCCATATATATTTTCATCGGATTTTATGTAAATCCTGCACCAATGTGCCTATATATCCTTCAATTTGCACGATATTTGGCTCAGCATACTCAATTAAGCCTAGAATGATGTATGCTAAGTTTCGTAAAAATCTGTTCAGATTTAGATATAGCTCCCATATATATTTTCGTCCGATTTAATGTAAATGGTGCACCAAAGCTCCTACATATCTTTCGATTTTCAGGAAATTTGGCACAGCGTACTGAATTGAGTCTAGAATGATGTGTGCAAAGTTTCATGAAAATCGGTTCAGATTTAGATATAGCTCCCATATATATTTTCGTTGGATTTTAGATAAACGGTGCATCGAGTGACACGAAATTCTGCACAACCTATCGAATTGAGACTAGAATGACGTTATTGCTTGTTGTTGCAACTGTTGCAGATGCAGACACAGCTTTCACAAATAGATATCCAACGGGTGTCTAATTGAGATTAAATTTTGAAGAGTGTGGCCTACCGAATAGCGTGTATCAAGTTTGCTCTAATTCGAACCGGAAAGGCATAAAGATCATATATTCCAGTTCGTTCAATTTCATGTCATCGTTCCTTCGAAATGGTGACATTTGTTAGGAGACATATCTAGAATATAACCAATGTGGTGAAGGGTATCATATAGTCGGACTAGTCCGACCATACTACTTTCCATAGTGTTTTTTTCTTTGTATACCCTCCATCAGAAGGTAGTGTGTCAATTTCTATTCCCTTTGCAACAACCTCGAAGGATCCGTTGTAGACCCTATAAAGTATACAATTCTTATCCCCATTTTTGTTTTACCCTTCAATACCCCTCCTCCAATGGCAAATTATTGTCACTTCGATGCAAAAAATTCATTTAAAATCTTCAAAAATACGAAAAATGGAGATCTACCAGTATATGTGGGGCCATGTCAAATTATAGACCTTCAAGAACCTTTTGGTACCAAATTGCAACCACAGCGATGTGAAAATGCAGCCCAAGTCCTCAAAATACCGTATAATGGACAGGACCAACACTTAAACCAACATTTCAAATTGTCGGTAGTGAGATGTGACACCCCCTGAGAAGCTAAAAAATCCAATTGCAGTCAATTGGATGGAAAATCGTGTCCAATCACCCGGCCAAAACACCGAGCAATGTAGGTACCATTGTATGGGGGCTACCCGGAAACTTCCGACAATATTGAGAATTTTTGGTAGGAAGATTTTTTTCTTCGAAGATCATTCAAAATATAAAATTACCGACAATTGGGTTGAAACTCAAGCTGAAACTCCTCAAAATATCAAAATTTGCCAAGCAGTGTTATACAGGGGTGTGGGCTACTCTAAAAAGTAAACCAATTATGATAATTTTTAGCGGGAAGATATTCCAAATTTCAGCTCCTTCTAATGAGAAACGGTCTGGGAGATTTTGCTTGTTACTTGAGAATATCAATTAAGAACCAATTCTATTAAAAACTGTGCCCAAAAACATTTCAAAATACCGAATATCGGGGGTACCGCTCTTTGAAGGCCATCCTTAAAAGTGGATCAATATTAAAATAGGTTTTGTGGGTAGATTTTCTACCCAAAATGCCAAATTACAACTGAAAAACGTTCTGATCAGGAATATATATGTGTATACTTAGGATAGGATCGGAAATAATTACATCAAGGTGTTGGCAAATGAAATGAGAAATTTAATATACACTCCATGTTGTAGGGGAGGGCATAAAAAACTTGTTTACTCCATTGGTTTATCATCCATCCATGGGAGGGCGAAAACAAGACTCTTCGATCGAATTGCAGCTGCCATTGATGGATGACCAACCCATATTATTATGGAATACGAATTTTTAACTGGGAAAATATTTTCTTCTATAAATATTTGTTTGTTGTACAACATTTGTTGTTGGCTTTTTTTGGAATCTCAGAATTTATGCATTGGTTCTTATCATTGCCCAACAACAACAACAACTACAACATCGACCAGAATTAAGAATGACTTTAAATTTTTAAATATTTCCAAGGTCCAGTCAGTTTATTTTCTTTCTTCATTGGTTTGATCTATACATTTTTGGTATTAGGTGTGTTCGGCAATATTTTTACAACATTATGGAGAATATTTTTGTCCAACTAATTAACCCTCTAGCGTATCAATTAAGGTGACCTTTCGGAACTTCTTAAAAATATGTCCCCTTTTGATTACTTGTTCTTCAATTATTAATGAATCTTCAAAGGAAATTCTTTTGTTGCGTACATTTTAGGTATAAGGTGTGTTCCGCAATATTATTACTAACATTATGGTGAATATTTTTTTTGGACATAATTAACCCTGTAGCGTTTCATTTAAGGGGACCTTTTGGAACTTCTTTAAAACATTTTCCTCTTTTTTGCTCACTTTTTCTGCAAAAATCAATGAATCTTCAGGGAAATTCTTTTGTTGTGTACATTTTAGGTATAAGGTGTGTTCGGCAATATTTTCTACGACATTATGGGGAATATTTTTGTGGACATAATTAACCCTGTAGCGTTTCATTTAAGGGTGTGTCCGCAATATTATTACTAATTTTGCTTAATATTTCTGTGGACATATTTCTAGCGTATCATTTAAGACGACTTTACGGAACTTCTTTAAAATATTTCCCCTTTTGATTACTTGTTCTTCAATTCTCAATGAATCTGCAAAGGGAATTCATTTTAGGTATAAGGTGTGTTCCGCAATATTTTACTAACATTATGCTGAATAAATATTTTCCTCTTTTTTCTTTTTTGCTCACTTTTTCTTCAATTATCAATGAATCTGCAAGGGAAATTCTTTTGTTGTGTACATTTTAGATATAAGGTGTGTTCGGCGATATTCCTACTAACATTAGGCTTAATATTTTTGTGGAACACATTAACCCTCTAGCCCTTCATGATAGGGGACTTTTTGGATCTTCTTTCCATGATTTCCTTTTTTTAGACAATTCTCAATAAAGCGGGGCAGTAATTTTTGTGATCTATACATTTTTAGGTATTAGGTGTGTGATTTAAGGGTCCACTCCCCACAGAGCGGCATCTCTCATTATTCGGTATTTTGGGGATCTTTATATTTTTTAGGATTTTCATTTGAAAGAAAATCTTTTCTACCAAAAATTATCAATATAGGCTAATGTTTCGGGGTATATCCCATATAAGGGTACCCAAAAAAATATATTCGGTATTTTGCGGAGCTTGGACACGTTTTTCAACCTAATCAGATGTAATATGTTATTATGGGTTCTCATTGAGTAATACATCTTCCTACCAAAAATTATCAAAATTGGTTTAATTTCTAGAATAGCCCCCATATAAGGGTATTCCCAAATATTCGGTATTTTGGAGCTTTTGTTTACGTTTTTCCACCTAAACAGCAGCAATTTGGTTTTTTGGGTTCTCGTTGGGTAATACATCTTCCTACCAAAAATGATCAAAATTAATTCAATTTTTAGTATAGCC